GAAGATCTTTGAAACCCCAAACTTAGCTTGAAGGAAAAGCTAGCTAAATTTCTAGAGAGAAGGAAGAGCTTTTGTTTTGAATGTGTTAGGAGAACAATGAAAGGTGTCTTCTAGGTTAGCTTGGAATACAATCATGAGGTGAAATGTCTTCATTACCCTTACTAAGATGAAGAAGTGTAAGTGAACAAGGGAACTATTCACAAAGCTTAGAGTACAACTCATTGACTTGGGTTGACTAGTCAATTACTAGTCCCCGACTATTGAATTTTCAGGCATTAAAAGAATAAATCACCAATTAGATTAGGATTAATTACTTAATTAATCCCTAATAGAATTTGGATTTACGGGGTGTCACAGGGCTCCTCCGTCGGGGTTGGTACGCGAGGTCGGGCCTCGTGCCCCCTTAGGGTGCGCTAGCCGCTCGAGCCAAGTCCTGTTGGACTAAGCCACCGGGCTCTTCCGTCGGGGTTGGAACGCGAGGTCGGACCTCGTGCCCTCTTAGGGTGCGCTAGTCGCTTGAGCCAAGATCTGCCGGACTAAGCCACTGTGATCCTCCGTCGGGGTTGGTAAGCGAGGTCGGACCTTGTACCCCCTTAGGGTGCGCTAGCCGCTTGAGCCAAGTCCTGTTAGACTAAGTCACCAAGCTCTTCCGTCGGGGTTGGTACGCGAGGTCAGACCTCGTGCCCCTTAGGGTGCGCTAGCCGCTTGAACCAAGTCCTGCCGGACTAAGCCACTGGGCTCCTCCGTCGGGGTTGGCACGCGAGGTCGGACCTCGTGCCCCCTTAGGGTGCGCTAGTCGCTTGAGCCAAGTCCTATTGGACTAAGCCACTGGGCTCCTCCGTCGGGGTTGGTACGCGAGGTCGGACCTCGTGCCCCCTTAGGGTGTGCTAGCCGCTTGAGCCAAGTCCTATTGGACTAAGCCACCGAGCTCTTCCGTCGGGGTTGGTACGCGAGGTCAGACCCCGTGCCCCCTTAGGGTATGTTAGCCGCTCGAATCAAGTCCTGCCGGACTAAGCCACCGGGCTCTCTCGTCGGGGTTTATACGTGAGGATGGACCTCGTGCCCCCTTAGGGTACGCTTGGGGAGGTCGGGTGAGTACTCGCTTCTTACAACATCGTTGGAGGGACTTGAAACATCGTTGGAGGGTACGCTCCACCTCTTAAAATATTGTTGGATGAGACGTCTCACCTCTTGAAACATCATTGGAGAGGACGAACCACCTCTTGCAACATCTTTGGAGGGGACGCTTCACCTCTTAAAACATCGTTGGAGGAGACGTTCCACCTCTTGGAACATCATTAGAGAGGATGGATGGACCACCTCTTGCAACATCTTTGGACGGGACGCTCCCCCTCTTAACATCATTAGAGAGGATGGATGGACCACCTCTTGCAACATCTTTAGAGGGGAGCTCCACCTCTTAAAACATCGTTGGATGAGACGTTCCACCTCTTGAAACATCATTGGAGAGGACGGACCAGCTCTTGCAATATCTTTGGAGGGGACGTTCCACCTCTTACAACATCGTTGGAGGGGACAGTCCACCTCTTTAAACATCATTGGAGAGGACGGACCACCTCTTGCAATATCTTTGGAGGGGACGCTCCACCTCTTAAAACATCTTTGGAGGGGACGGGTCACCTCTTGCAATATCTTTGGATGGGACGTTCCACCTCTTACAACATCGTTGGAGGGGACGGTCCACCTCTTTAAACATCATTAGAGGGGACAGACCCTTTGTGGATCTCCTCTATGACTGACCTCGCCTCATCGGGGTACAAGCAATGTAGCAGGGTGTCATTGGAGGACCTCTTGTAGAGTATATCACAGAAGACCATGTAGGTTCTCCCCATCGGCTTGGCTTTGGCCTCGTCAAGGGGCAAGCAACCCATAACAGGTTCGTCCGTTAGGTAGTGAGCGGGGGCGTCCCCCCTGTACTACCGTTAGGGAAATGCTAAGGTCGGGGCCGGCGCGAACGACCGCGACCATGAGTTAATAAGAACATATGTCAATATTTAAGCTCTTGGGTTCGGGGAAGCCGGGTACTCGACCTATCACGCCCCCTTAGGATGGGTGGGGTAAATGTAGGCACCCCTTGAGAGACATCGGGGCCGAGCAGGAGTGTTTGGACACCTCCTTGGAGCCCCTCAACGGGGCGAGTCAACAAGGTGGTAGCTTGTTGGAGCGCGACCATCCCCCCCGGGAGCCGGGAGCTCGTTCATTAGCTTACGGAGTTGCTCGACCTCGTCACGATAGGTGCTTGGAGCTCGACCATTCGTTTCTCCCGACCTCTCATCTCGGGAGGCCTACTCGCATCTCGGTGGAGTTCGGGGCCTGCAGATCGGCGACCTACGTGAAAAAAAAATTCTGCCGCGGCAGGGCTCAAAAGCCACGACTCGGTGACCTTCGGGGACATGATTCCTCCGCTTGTGGTGCGTTGGGGGTTTGCCTTGGGCCCAACCTATCTCGGGCTGACACGCGCTTGCCCAGCCTCTCCAAGGCGGGCCTAACATGGGTCGACCTCCCTCTATCGCCCTCTCGATGGCGGTCATGGCGGATGTGACCCCCTACCCGCGTGTCCGATGGCCGGGGCGAGTTGACCTCCTCTTCGATTTGAGTGTTGAGTGCCCAGGGTAGCCAGGTGCTTGGACCGGTGCGCCCCCTTGAGGGAAGTGGTGGTGGGGTCGGTGTCCTTTGTGTGGCCTCCGGACCGTCGTGCGCACCTCCTTGGGGACCCTCTGTGAGGTGAGCCAAAGTCGCAGAGGATTGTTAAAGGGCAACCGCCCCCTACTGTAGCGGGGCGAGATTCGGAGGAGGGGCGGACTGTCTTGCGTACCTCCTTGGGGATCCTCTGCGAGGTGAACCAAAGTTGCAAAGGATTGTTAAAGGGCAACCGCCCCCTCCTGTAGCGAGGCGAGATTCGGAGGAGGGGTGACGGAAGCCGGCACACCACCGCTGCGATGGTTGGTGAGGTGATCTCTCAAGTCCCCCGACCTGGTGGAGGCGGCCGGTTGGAGGCTGGGGGCCATGTTGGGGTCGTTCCCAGTTGCGGCGAGCTGGGTGCCACGGGAACCGTTGGTGTGGCGAGAGTTGGATCTCAACCTTGCCATGGTAGCTGATCGCGATGGATTAAAGGATATAGAACACGCTTGAGCTGGTACAACAGCTCTCAACAAGAGCATCAATGATGGATTTAATTACCCGGGGTGGACCCGAATCACTAAATCCGGATAAGAATGTAAATAACAATTAAATAGGTAAACGTAACGAAACGGTGTCGCAAAGGCCGTGGATACCATAAATTGTATTAAATGCCGTGAATAGGCTATTACAAGGATTTGATAGGACAAAGTGTATTGAAATTAGTGAACATAATAAACATGCCTTGTTAGGAAAAGGAGGGGGGCTTTTATACAAGCTAAACCCTCCAACCGCCTCCCCCTAAATCGGGGGGTAGTTGGATCTCCGAGTTGACGACGCCCGGGTGTAGACCGGGTCCGCGGGTGTGCCGAGCTCACCGTGGCTGAGCTCACCATGGCCGAGCTCACCGTGGTCGAGCTCATAGGGCCGAGCTCACTGTGGTCGAGCTCACCTAGCCAACCTCGTGTGGTCGAGCTCACCGTGGCCGAGCTCATAGGGCCGAGCTCACCTAGCCGACCTCATGTGGTCGAGCTCACATGGTCGACCTCATATGGGCGAGGCACCTTGGGCCGAGAACGGGGCTCATCCTTCGGGCTCCGGGTCCATTCCATACTTCATTGCTCCGCTTCCCGGGTCGGTTTGCTCCGATCATAATATATCCATCATGAGTCATCCACTCTCTTCGTTGGAGAAGTCGACAACGAAAGAGAGTAAATGTCCCGACCCGACCTCTATGCGCAACGTGGCCAAGCCCATTGTAGCCGAGGTGCCTTGTGTCGAGGCGTTGGCCGAGCTCACCATGCCGCAGCTCATAGGGCCGAGCTCACCTAGCCGACCTGGTGTGGCCAAGCTCACCGTGGCCGAGCTCATAGGGCCGAGCTCACCTAACCGACCTCATGTGGCCAGGCTCACCATGGCCGAACTCACATGGCCGACCTCATGTGGCCGAGCTCATATGGGCGAGGCACCTTGGGCCGAGCACAGGGCTCAACCTCCGGGCCCTGGGTCCATTCCATACTTCATTGCTCCGCTTCCCGGATCGGTTTGCTCCGATCATAATATATCCATCAGGCTTAATCTTATATTGCAAGATTATAAGTTAATAAACTGATTATATTCAAATCTACATAAAATAATCTCATAACTTACGCTCTGTAAACATAAAATTTCAGAGAAAGATTTAATTGAAAAATTCCTACTTTTCATAAAATTGGGAGCCTAGGTTTGAAAGACTGTCATCTTCACAGGGAGCAATAACCTCTAGATTTACTTGAATGGACAGTCCAAAAACCTTGATAATCGTGAAGATTATGCCCTGAAGGCTAAGGTTTTTAATGAGGTTACTCTTTTCCTCGACTAGATTTTTTCATTGTATTTTTCTAAAGAAGGTTTTAACGAAGCATGTGTATAGTAAAATAATGACCAAGGTATATATATATATATATATATATATATATATATATATATATATATATATATATATGTCCTCTTCATCTTCTAATTTATGTTGATATATATAAAAGGTTTCTTTCATTCTTTGTTGTATATATATACATGTTTTGAATGATTAACAAAGGGGCTTCTTGAGTTCTTACACTTTTGTTACTTTCTCTCTGTTTTTCTATTCCTATTCTCAATATTATTTCTACATACAATTATTGCAGTTACTAGATGTTCAACCATCTCGATAAATTAAACTAAAAAAAGGTTGAATTACAACAATTTTTACCAAACACTCATTTTAACTATTTGACTTAGTCAAATGACTGAAATTGATCAAATAAAAAATTAACTTATAGCCATTTACCAAACACTCCATCCATTTTTTCAAACCAAAACCAAGTCTTACAAAATCATCCTAAAACCAAACCAATGTTAACAAAAAGAAAGAAGAGTATTGATGATTCAGGGAAAACAAGAATGCCAATGATAGAACAGTACAACTGGAGGCCAAAATTCCAAACGGAAATCATAATTCAGGCTTAACTATTACATATTTGCCTCTTCATTCATATTTACCAGAAAATATCTGTAGTCTGAATTGAGAAGGAAGGAAAAATGGTTGGTAAAGATTTACAAGGTATATATATGTATATGCCAAGAACTTAAAGTAAAAGCCTATATTTTCCATGCTGAATCATGTTCTGTGGTGAACTTACATCCATCTTCAATCCATCATGGGGCAAAGACACCAGAATCTAGAAAGCAGAATGCATAATCGTGTCGGATTATTCATGAGTATATTATATTCAAGAAAGAAGACGGAGAGAACGTACAAGAATGAGACTTTTCTGTTCGATTGTTGAACAACATAAGACCGATCACTTACATGCATTAACTTGTTGAACATCGCAGATGGCTTCATTCGATTGTTCAGGCGTCAATGATTTGCTGCTGCATATCATCTGCTCTGCATTCCCCTCGACCTCCTCGATCCTTTCCCCTGAGAATACAATTAAGTTTCGATCAGTATATAGTGTTCTAAAACAGCACCACATAAAGAAAATGGAGAAAAAAAAAGTTGGTTTCTTTTTCACCTGAATTATTATTGGCTGCGTTGGGCTGGCCTTTTGGAACAGAATTGAGTGCTCGAGCTAGACGTTTCATGTCTATTAACCGTATTCTTCTCCACAGTTTTCCTGAGGCTGGGTTGCAAATCCAAATCCCATGACTCAAAAGTTTAAAAGTATAATAAGAAAGGTTGGACACAAACTCACACTTGGTAACATCATAGTTTTTGTCAGTCACTTCTGCTCCAACCTGTTGATGATGGTCATGAACCTCGCCAGAACGACTGTTTAGTAACCGGGCAAGATGTCTGATTTGATAGAAATGCAGCCCTTTGGGATATGGATATTTCACGGGGCGAATTCTTCTTGCCTCTGCACCTGGACAGACAGACAGACATCTGATCTTATTAACTAACAGTAACAACAGAACAACATGAACGAATAATCTAAAAACAGACCATAATCAACAGAAATCGAGTTCTTGGTAGACACAAATCGCGGTGCAGAGTCCGAATGGAATTCGAGTTCCGGGACGACAGAAACCACTTGAAGATTATTATTACTATTCTCGTTTTCAGCTTCACTGCCAGTGTTCAACACTTGGTGACCCGTTTTAGCAGCAGCATTATTCAAGGCTCTTTGCCTTCTGAGTTGGTAGTTTCTGCGCCGCCTCGCTAGATGCCTCTCCCTCTCTTCAAGGCTCATCGATTGCCTTCTTTCTCTGTCACGCATTCGCCGCTTTTCTCTCTCACGCTCTTTCTGTATATTTCGCCAGTTCTTCACAGCAAGCCAGTCTTGGTTTTCTGATGATCCTTGATCAGTTGCCATTTCCAATCCTCTATTTTCTTCTTCAGATCACCTTTTGGCTGCCAAAAACATTATATTCATCACTAAACATAGCATTTAAAAACCATTCTTTCTCATATACAATAAGACTAGTAGAATCATATGAATGAGATCATTAATTTATACAAAATGTAAAATATGAAAAGATCACTTTGGCTGTGCATGGGCTTTGGGGAATGGGATGTGGAACATTGATCATAATAGCTGCCTCTATTGATAGGGTTTTTTCTCATTTCTCTTAAAAAACGGGTTAGGGTTACTAGAATCTACCTTTATAATCGTGAAAACGACTGTACGATCATCAAACTATTCTATCACGTCTACTCGATCATATTGAATTGGCACAAAATGTTCTTCTTTTAACCAATGAATCTTGACTAATCCCTAGCACATCATCTCCAAGAATCAAGAAAACTAAATTTTACAAGGTAAAAAAAAATTAAAAAAATCACATTTTTTTTAACAAATGTCCTGATCTCATATGAAAATCCACAAGCATTAAATAAAGTTTTCTTCACAAAATAAAAATTAAAAGCGGTGGCAATCACATGGAGAGGACTCAATACTTGCCTGCAACGGTGGAAACTGAGGAAAAGAGAAATGGAAAGAGGAAATCTCAGAAGAAGCAGCGCTGTGTATGTGTAATGTGTGTGTAATTTTGCAGTGTCGACTAACATTAGGCAATATTTTGGTTAGAGGGCAAAAACGACAAATTCATTTTTGTCCAATAGGATAATTTTTGTTTTTTTTCTTTCCAAAAAGTAAAGGAATATTAGCAATGTACTTTTGTAACTGACCAATTAATTACAATTCCTTATATATTTCCTTTAAACCCCCAAAAAATATCACAAGTTTGTTCAATATCATTTGTTATATATTTCCTTTAAACCCAAAACAAAAATCACAAATTCGCTCAATGTAACCATGACCTTTAGTCTGGCTCTGATTCCAAACATGTGCTCCATCTCAACTAAAAGTCTACTGATAGTTGAATTGTACATTAATGGTCATATCCTCAACAGTATTCACAACAAAGTCTTAATCGATTCCATTCAAGAACAACTATTCTAACAGTATTGTTGACTTGCTGCATACACCATAACAATTAATCGAAACGAATTTCAATAGGGTGAACTAGGGTCTAGGGCACTATGCTATCCCAAAATAATTGAAGGGTAGTTGATAAATAAACCTGCAATTCATGCAAACAATACAGCAAACTAATGAGAACTGACCCTCATATATATGTAATTCATATATATATATATATATATATATTCCCACAAAAATTCAGTTTATGTAAACTCAACAAGAGAGTAAAAAACTGGAACATAATTGTATCTGGTAATCATGTTAAGATTGTTCTGAGGTATTGACAGACAAGAACACATTAGCAAAGTGCACATTCTATATGAAGCCTAATAGTTCAGAGAAGAACTCTGTTCTAATCATACCAAGGCAAAGGCGAAAAGGTTAAAGATCGGTCGGGTATGCAAAATTTACAGAGAGTTGAAAAGCGTCGGGGGAGTGTATCATCTCCAGGCTGAGGAAGATGCCAAAGCGCGGTTCTTCCATCCAAGATACAATGCGCCATGGCCTTGTGCAATCCCGAAATTCGGGCTATATTCCTGCAACATGTGCCTCATGGCCTCGCCCACTGAGGGACTTAACGGGCACGGAGTGAATCCAGCCATCGTAAATCTCATACTCCACTTGCCAAACGGTTCGTGTCTTTCCACTCGATCAGCCCCCTCGCATGCTATTATGTTGACGATATCCCGGGCAACGCAATGCTCCTCTGCACTGATGCGCTGTCTGTCGTCTCTCGGGCGAGCTGCGTCTATTGACTCGAACATTGCTGTGTAGTAGTCTAAGGTTTCGCGGAACCTCGGAAGGAAAGGAGTGGTGTTGGTGTTGGATTCTTGCTCGATAACGGTGACAATTTTGGGGGAAAGACTCTTTACTAGTCTCAATAACCGGTCTCGGTGATTCATGGTGCTCACACTCTCGTCGGGCATGTGATGTAACATGTAAGGGAAGTTAACCGCGAGTGCTTCCCCGGGTTGAACCCAGAGGTTCTCGAGTTCAACCTCGGAGCCAGATATACCTGCAGAGTGGAATTCAAAGGGCACACCACATTCCTTTGCGAATTTCGCTAACCTTTCCCCAACCAGTTGAAGTCCTCCGCCCCGAGCATGAGCCGATTGGGAATCATCGACACCCGTGATGCGGAGCATCAACGGGGGTCCCCCGGGTCGATCTGCAAGAGACTTTATGAGGAACATCCACTGACTTCCTTGGGCAACCTGGAAATCAACGATGTGGATTCGGTTCTCGTTCATCATCGCCTCTTTGATCACAACATTGGAAGACATGTAAGCGAATTTGAAGTAGGGGCAGATGTTATAAAGAACTTGCATATAAGACAGCAACTCAGAGCTACTCGGTTCTTTGCACTTCAACTTCTTGTAGATTATGCTTCCCGAGGCCAATATCCGTGCTCGAAGCCCTTCCAACATATACGCACTTAGCCTCTGCATAGGATCCCCGGACACCGACACCCTTTTCTCCAACACATTCATCAAAACTTCTGCGGTTGATATATCCGCATCCGACACTGCCTCAGCACAGGCAAAGAGGAGCTCTTTCGTGTCCAAACTCGGGGCTATCTCCAGCATTCTCTTCCACTTCATCACCGAAGAAGACTTCGGGACCGCATCACTAAACGAGCAACTATAGTTATCGTCAATTTCAGATTCGGGACCGAGCAATTTATTCTCCAATTCTCGCAACACATGCCTCAGTTCATTCCCATCAACAACGCCAGAACACCCGCTTAAAGGCGAACCACAAGTAGTATTATCCGACATATACGACTGAGAGCATTGGGGAGAAAACGCGCTCCGATTGGAAGAAACACTGGCAGCAGGGGGCGAATCATAATACACGGAATCAATTCCAGCAGGCGCTGAATCCAAAGTGAAGAACTGCTCGTTTTGGGCCTGGAAAAAGCCTTGTTCCCCTACACTACCACTCTCATTCGAAACATCGTTGTTCAAAACATGGAAAGCGGCATAATACTGCTGAGGCTGATGGTAAAACCTCTGTACACTGCTAGACGACGATTGAGGTCCCTGGGAGGCCTGCATTTGTAGTTGCGGAATAACCCTTCTTCACTCGCTCAAAAATGGGTGAATACTACTTCACTTCAGGTACGTTTCTTCGATCGAAACGAGTCCATTGATCACAAAAGGGAGTGTAACCAACAAAATCTGCAAAGAAAAGAACTTCGATCAGCTTGCTTAAACCATTAAATCTAGTCAACATGAATAGTAAAGATCGCAATCAAATCAATCAAAACAGAACAAGAACTACAATATTGACAAACATCTACAATAACAATGCTTAGTACAGGTAAGGAATGAGAATAACCTTGTAAATCCAGAAGCTTATGAAGTAAAATAAATATCAAACTTACATATTCAAACCCAGATTTTAATAAATCTGAGGAAGTAAATACCAGAAAGATCGTTTTACACTCTTGCAGAATATAACTAAATCAGAAATTCTTTTAATCCTCAAGTGAATCTTGATGGCAGAGAACTAAATCTCAAACCCAAATATCAGAATTGTCTAGATGGAAAGCATATATGCTGTAAAGCCAAAACCCAGATCACTAAAATATTTTACAAATTATCTCATCTGTCTGCAACTTTAGGAAAGTACCTTTAAATTTTACTCCTATTTTTTTTCCATTTTCATCTAAAGGAAGGAGTAAAGATGAAACATGCCACTTCAAAGAGATGTGCCTCTTACCTTATAATTAAAAGAAAAAAGATGATTAATCTCTTCAAAAACCTTTCAGAAAATTTCTGAGAAAATAGAATCCTACACAGTGTTTAAAGCTCCAACTAACCAAACTCTAAAAAGTGTTTTAACAAGGAAAGACAGGCCTAGGTTCATATTAAATACACCCTTTATCATACCAAGCAAGAAACAGTAAATGAACAAAACCAGGAATCAAGCAATTAACACCCCCCCCCCCCCCCACCCATCTACCCACCAACAACCACACACGCAAACAAACAAAAAGAAAGAAGCTTTTTTGAGAACTTCAAAATCAAAGCAGAAACCAAAAGAAAGAATTGAACTTTCAGCATTAACCAACTTAAAGAAAAAAAACCCACCACACAAATCAGACCAACAAGAAAGAAATCAGCAAAAGGAAATGAATAGCAAGAAATCAAATAGATGGAACTTAACACTTTAAACACACGAACCTGAACAAGTACTTCTCTGATGAATTTAAGTTTTCAGGATTTTTCTTTTCCTTCCGAGGGGAGAGACGATTGGTGGTCCTTCTTCTTCTTCTTCTTCTTCTTCTTCTTGTCTTCTGCAACAAGCCGATTGCTTAAACAAAGAATCGGGGAGTCGTGTTTGAATAAATAGTCAACACAGCGAAGTAAATGCCCTTGCTTTCCATGTTAATTACGTAATGTACCCCTGACTGCTTATGAATCTTCCTCCCACTTGTGACTTCCTAGTTCCTTCCATAGCTCCCACGCCTACTAGAAGAATATACTCTACGAACTCGGGCGGTGAGCCGGTGACCATAAATGAAATTGTACGGATGATGACAACATTTTGCTGTGCCTGTACCTTTATTTTTATTTCACCACGAAATATTCTAACTCCCGACCTTTCTTAAAGGCATCAAAGCTGATTATAAAATTTATATATTTAAAAACTACACTATAAATATTAGGGAATATTAAATACCAAAAGAATTAAAAAGTATTAAAGAAAATAAATATAGAGTTGATTTAATTAATTAATAATAAACATGACACGTTAAATGGGATATAGAGATTTTTTTTTAATACATAATTTTCCAACTTACACCACTCTGATCTGTTGCCTCTATCTGTGACTTAAGATCAGGTGATCAACTAAATAAATTGGCAACTTAAAAAATGCAAAGATTATAGTTTAATAAATTATCGTTATTGATTTTTTACAATTCATGATTTGCATAATTAAAATTTTTATTGTAATGGACAACTACGTAAATCTTATAACTATTAAAAGATAAAATTTTAATTTTTGATTATAAGAAAGATTATTACAATCTCATAAATTTTTAAAAATTATATTCAATGTTGTAGATATTGTGTTTCAAAATGATTACACTTTTTTTAACAAATGAAAATCATTTTTTGATAAGTTTTATTTTTGTTCTAATTAGAGTTTTAACGTTGATATCAAAATAAATAAAACAAAAATATTTTGTTGGCAATAAAAGAATGATGCATATATTCTACATCAAGTAAATTAGTAGATAAGAATAAAAATTAAAAAAAAAAAACATACTTATTTTAAGTGGATTTTTAATTTTTAAATTTTTTTAAAAAAAGTTATGTATTTATACTTTACATATTAAGAGTAGAATTGACAAAGGGTAAAAGTAAAGGGTAGAATTGGTAAAGAAGTATAAATGTACATTACAAAAAGTGTCAAAGAAATGCACTTAATATTTTTTAATAATTATCAAAAACCTTGTGGTCGAGTGACATGATTGTGATTTTTCTACTACGGAGTATTTTAATAAATTTAGCTGTAGTAATTTAATACCAAATGAGTACTGATTAGTACTCTTTTGGTACTAATTAGTATGCATTTGATATTAATTAGTACTCAATTAGTACTAAGGGCATCCTCAATAGTGGTAGGTTTTTGAGGGAATTTTGCATGTGTAATTAGGAAAGAGAAAATGATTGTGGAGGGAAAAAAAATAAAACAAAACAAAATCTGAAATTAAAAAAAATTAAAAAAAAATTACTTAACGCGTCCTCTGGTGGGCGCCAGCTATACACGCCCCGCCGGCACGCAAGTTGTCTGGGACGCGCAACAACATTAATTACCAAAGATTTTCATTTAATACTTGGGACCCACAATCTGACCAAAATTCCCATTTTACTGCGAGTTCTACTACATGTACTCCCAAATTTTACTCCATCACTTGTACTCCATGACATGGAAACACAAAGATCGGCTATTTTCATCATGTGTACCCTAGGGAATGTGTCTACATCAAAAATTTGTGAGAGGGAGTACAAGTTGGAAGTAAGAAATGAGAGTGCATGTAGTATTTTCCTTTTACTGCAAGCATTTTTTTCTTCTCTCCCTTCACTCTCTCTCTCTTCCACTTCAACATCCTTCCTCAAAACCTGGTCCAAAATCCCCCTATTGGAAATGCCCTAACAGGGCGTTTGGTTGGAGGGATTTTAAATTCCCTTCCCACTTAATTCCCACCTAATTCCAAAGGCCATTAAATTCCGTAGTTTGGTTGAAGGGAATTGTAATTCCCCCATTTTCATGGAATTAAAATCCCATGTCCCCCCCTGGTATTTTAATTCCTGGGAAAAAAAGATAGTGATAAGTCAAAATTACCCCTTCCTTTTTTAACTTAAAATTAATGTCTAACAACAATAATGGACATTTTTGACTTTATACTACTTATTCCCGTTCAATTCCCATGTATACCAAACATTGGAATTGAAATTCCCAGTAATTCTATTCCTGTCAACCAAACACTAGAATTTAAATTCCCACTTTATTCCCAGTAATTCAACTCCCATGGAATTACAATTCCTTTCCCACATAATTCCCTCCCTCCAACCAAACGCCCTGTAATTGGTACTCATTTGGTGCTAATTAGTATCCATTGTTGGAGGGATTTTAAATTCCCTTCCCACTTAATTCCCACCTAATTCCAAAGGTCATTAAATTCCGTAGTTTGGTTGGAGGGAATTGCAATTCCATGGAATTGCAATTCCCCCATTTTCATGGAATTAAAATCCCATGTCCCCCCCTGGTATTTTAATTCCTGGGAAAAAAAGATAGTGATGAGTCAAAATTATCCCTTCCTTTTTTAACCTAAAATTAATGTCTAACAACAATAATGGACATTTTTGACTTTATACTACTTATTTCCTTTCAATTCCCATGTATACCAAACATTGGAATTGAAATTCCCAGTAATTCTATTCCTATCAACCAAACACTGGAATTTAAATTCTCACTTTATTCCCAGTAATTCAACTCCCATGGAATTACAATTCCTTTCCCACATAATTCCCCACCTCCAACCAAACGCCCTGTTAGTGCAAAGTAGGACACATTTGGTGCTAATTAGTACTCAATTAGTACTATTTGGTACTCAATTGGTGCTAATTGGTACTCATTTGGTGTTAATTAGTACATATTCGGTGCTAATTAGTACTCATTTGATGCAATTCGTCTCACAGGAGAGTCACTCACTATAATTTAGGGCAAATTCTCCTATGAGATTGTCTCATGGGTCCTCATTCGTGAGATGAGTTAGGGTTTTATTATTATTTTTTTAACTATTGTATTTTTCACATTATTATTACAACTAGTATTTTTTTATGCGCGATGCGCAAAAAATAGGTGCCCAATATTAATACATTATATTAAAATTTTAAATTTATTTAAATTTTAGATATTTAAATTATTCTAAATAATAATAATAATAATAATAATAATAATAATAATAATAATAATGTAAATCATTTTTATAAATTTGATATTTATATTTATGTAATAATTAACATATAACTCAAATATTTAATGTGTATATATTATTATTAATGAAGAAGATAAGAAAATATATGGTGGATGCATGTGCATGGTAACAATAGTGGAAACAATAACGGAAGTTATAACGGTAGGGGTATGTTTGTCCAAAATATTTTAATGTACAACCTTTATAGCATAATGTGCAAAAAAAACTTAACGGAAAAAACGGACATAAATCAGGGGTATAACTTTCATTCACACTTATTATGTTTTTAGATTTAGATTTAGATTCTAATCATAAGGAACTCTTCAACTCTTAATATTACATTTTTTTATTTAAAAGTATTATATTTTTCATTAAAATATTAAAATTTTCGTCCAAAGTATTACACATTCTCTCATAAATAACAATTAAAGAATTTATCCATTATTGGTATTCCATTTTTTCTAATAAATAACTATTTAACTCCAAATATTACATTTTGATTTAAAAGTATTATTACATTTTTTTCTCAAAAGTATTACACTTTTTCTTATAACTAACAAACAATTTATTATTTATTAGTATTACATTTTCCAGCAAAAGTATTACATTTCTATCATGACCCGACCCATCTTAAAAATAAAGATCTATGACACACACACACACATGCATATATATATATATATATATATATATATATATATATATATATATATATATATATATATATATATATATATATATATATATATATATATATGAAAGAGTTCAGGTGCGATAAAAGCTTCCCATGTGGTTGTGTGGTTGACCCACCTTAAACATTAAAATCTAAATTAACGGCTCAAATCAATTAAATTTTTTTTTTTAAAAAAACGTGTGTCTAGAAGAAAGTAGTTAAAAATGGCGCACATTAAGTGATAGAAACACGCACCTTAAGTATTAGAAAAATACACCTTAAGTGTTATAACAATACACAAGTGTTAAAATGGCGCACGTTAAGTTTTGTTCTTGAGGATCTGAACCACCCCTCAGTTTAAAAGTTTTGTTCTTCTTGTGAGTCTGAACCAGCCCTCAGTTCAAAAGTTTTGTTCTTCTTGAGGGTCTTAACTACCCGTGACGCATAGAGAAGGGTGCACAAAGAAGAAACAGGATGCACCTTAAGCACAAAACTCACGCACCTTAAGTACAAAATCCACGCACCTTAAGCACAAAACTCACGCTCCTTAAGTGTTAAAATGACGCACGTTAAGTTTTGTTCAAAAGTTTTGTTCTTGAGGGTCTGAACCACCGCTCAGTTCAAAAGTTTTGTTCTTTCTTGTGGGTCCGAACCACCCCTCAGTTCAAAAGTTTTATTCTTCTTGAGGGTTTTAACTACCCGTGACTCACAGAGAAAGAATTCGGAAAGAAGAAACATGACGCACCTTAAGCACAAAACTCACACACCTTAAGCACAAAACTCACGCACCTTAAGTTTCAACTACTCACATTAAGTACAAAACACACGCACCTTAAGCACAAAACTCACACACCTTAAATTTGACCTAGTTGTAAAAATTACCAAATTGTTACCGCGTTTTCTTTTTTTAAATTTTGGTAATCCTGGACGTTGATTTAAACGAAATCAATGGCTCTCCTCTCATCGCACAACCACACCTAGGGCTGCCAACCGGACCACAACCTAATTATATATATATATATATATATATATATATATATATATATATATATATATATATATATATATATATATATATATATATATATATATATATATATATATATATATACACACACACACACACACACACACACACACACACACACACATATATATATACACACACACACA